AGGAGGAAGAAGAAGACAGAAATTGCACGTCCTGATATCAGGGAGGGGAGGTCTGTATCTTCTTAGCTGGTCCTCTGGTTAGGATGTACGATTTTGTTTCCTTTGTATTCTGATATCTGAATTTCAAGCTCTATTAAAAGCTTTTCTTTTCACAGTTACTGTGAATGCTTTTTCAGTGTGATATTTTAAGGCTAATTAAAAAAAAATTGCTAATGTTGTAAGAACCCGATTCTCGCATTAGTCAGACTGTATAAATCTATATGAATGTCTATGAACGAATTATTTAGGATGTAAATAAAGAAACGTAAGCAAAGTATGAACCTTTGTGTGTATTCAGAAGTGTGTATTTTGGCCGAAAATTGCATTCATTTACGTGTTACACATACTTGTTCAAGTTGCTTATATAAATAGAATTGGCTAAGGGCTGCTGACGTGAAAATGCATGGCATGCAATAAATTACTGAGGTATAAAACAAAGTTACATTACGTTAGGTGGTATCTTGCAAAAAAAAATTATGACAGACTTTGCGGAACTTTGAAGTACACACTTACCCTGCACTAACATTATATACTCACCACCAGCCTTATTCTTTAATACCTCATAATTGCTGATCATTGTTAGTGTAAGGTTTTTCTTTACCCTAACCACCTTGCCGAATGTATAATTGTGAATGTGTACTGCCTGAAATTTGTCGAGATAAACTGTTTCCACTTCGAACTTTATCCACCTCATTTTGGATAATATATACATATGTCGCGATAATGTGTACAGGAGTCGCGAATACTGGCTAATTTGATTGTGAACCAGAACAGCCATTAGCCATAATATATACACTATTCATTTGCTTTTCTTATTTGTACTCATTTTTTCTGCAGCCCTTTACCATGTAACAACTTTTTTAAAGTATTTTTTGAGTTTGTTTGAATTTTTGTCTTAGAACGAATAGTTGAAATAATGGAACTCATAGTTTCGAAAAATACGTCTATCCTAGACTGGTAGGTTCACGAGTATATCGTTAAATGCATTACAATATTTATCTCCACTGTTGATGATCACTTTTGTTCGACCTGTTTCTTCTTTGATTATTTCTAATAATATTGTATTTCGTACTTTAATCACAAAATATTTACTGTCTTCTTTATTTTTTTCTCAATTTTTTCTAAAGCTTTTATCTTTATTTTCTTTGAACCGTGTCGTAATATTTTGTCGAATTAACCAGATAATTTTGTAGAACAAGCAACTTTATCAGTAGTAATCACATCTTTATTTGCTATCCAAAAGTGTGGATGCTGATCGTAGTGCAACTATATCAATAAAAATTAAACTAGAAATATTTACATAAAATTATACCCAATACTGTGATTTGACTTACTTTCTTTCAACACTAGGCGATTATTTCCTTCCTCAACTTCTTGTATTGTCCACGCACATTTTCTTGAACCCTCTTTCGTTAGGTGAGAGAGGAATAGAATTGGTTATTTCGACGACCGAATGGTAGTGTTTTATCAAATGTGAAGCTCTCTTCTGATGCAATGTCTGTCTGATTTTTCTGTTATAAGAGAGTACACATTTCAGATTTTCAGGTTTTGTCAACAACGCTCATCGTGGTTACTGTAATCAACTCCAGGTGAATGACGCAGCAGTACCCTAACAAATGAGCCACGTAACTCGCGTGATCTTTGCTTCCTATTTCTTATTCTACACTCCCTCCTTACTTACGTGCACTCAGATGCACTACACTCACAAATTGTGAGATAACGTGTTCGGATGCTTGGAGCTTGTTCTGGCTGGAGTGCTGCCTCACTAGTGCGAGGTAACTCGTTGAGGAAAACTCAACTTGACGTGTAGCAGTGACAGGATTTTCGACACCAACGTGTCAGCTAGGTCGAACTCAGACGCTGTCTGGAAGAGAATTCTAGCAACCGGCTGCTCTGATCGGAATTTTCCCGCGGTTTCGCTTAACAATACCAGGAAAATGCCGGATCAGCACCATATGAAGTGGATCACAGTCCGCACGCGATCTTATCTTCATTTTTTGTCTTATCCTCACTCCTTACACACACACACACACACAAACATGCATTACGTCACCACATAAGCCGGGAGACCGATCTTGTCCCAGCTGAGGCAGTGCCCCACTGATGGGAGAGTCATAGTTAGAAAAATCTCCGGTAGCCAGCGGTAGGTCGGTGCCGCATCTCCCCACTGTTAGGAAAAGACCACCGCCCCCTCCCGAACAAAAACATGCACTACACTTTTTCAGCGATGTTTTTTGAGTAATAATTCAGATGCAGTTGAATTTATGGGCGCTACCAATGGTCGCGGTCAATTACGTGCGCATAGCCTGTTCCGGGGCATTGACTCCAGTAGATTCGTAACGGTTTGTAAATGATAGTAGGGATAGGTACTCAGGGACACAAGAAAATGTGCGCTTATAATACACTGGATGTGTGTGGCAGCCTTCACACCTGCTCCGTCGCCGCCTCCGCGCGGGGTATCTCACGCGGAGACGCATAGGAGGCGGCGGCGGCGGAGAGTCCTCAGGGGGCCTTGAGCCTTTGCTCGCCATGGCCTCCTGCTCGCTCCGCCCCGGTGGGAGTGTGCGTGTGTGGCCTGCGAGAAGCCCTTGAACTCCTCCGCGCTCGGCACGCGCCGCCCGTCGGCCGCCGAGGCGCCGTTGGCACGTCCTGGCGCCATCGCCGGTGGAAGATTAAACTGTCCACGGAGCAAGAAACGGTGGCACTGTTTCCAAGTGTTTCGGAGCTTCCCAATTTGCGGGGCGAAGTAACGAGCGGGTCAGATAAAAGAAAACCGAGAAGATTAAATCTACATTTCCTTTTACGGTTAAATTAGTACTCTCATGTAATAGTTCTTCTATGGTTAAATATTGTCTTCAATTTTATTGAGATGATTTCGAAATATTAAAGTATTTCTTAAGAAAATATAGAAAAGTTTCCTCAGAGAGAATAATTAATCTAATTTAAATATTAACAAGGTTATTGTTTATTAGAGTTATCAGGGTTACTTTTGGAGTATCTGTCTAACTGATGTCACATTTTTTAAATAAAAAAACAACACAAAATTCGAAGACATTCAAAAATATGATCCATAAATCTTTCAGCTTCGTCTTATATGTATATAAGAAAATATAGATGATTTAAATTATAATTGTGTAGAAAATGTGTACATATATAAGATAGTTAATATCTTATCAGAGAAAATATAATGGAGCTTGTATCGCGTTAATCTCGCTCCAGCAGCTGGTCATCACAGTCCGTCTGCCAGAGGCGCTGACTCGGCGCAAGGTTGCCGAAGGCAGATGGAGCGCGAATGCGTTCGATAGGGGGAGGGAGCGAGGGCCGTGGGGGCGGCGGGGGCAGCGAGCGCATCGAGAGGGTCTGGGGTGGGGGATATGGCGAGGGCGGCTATAGGGGCGACGGCGCCCTCAGAAATGGTTACTGACGGAGCAGTTGCAGGTGGGGAGTGGTGGGGAAGGCGACAGTAGCAATTAGGACAACAGCAACAACGGGGTAAGCAGGAGTGGCGAGGCAGATGGAAAGAGCAAAGCGGCGGGGCCATCGAGAGAAATAGGGTGGGAGGGTCGAGTAGGCGGTGGTGGTAGCGTAGGGGTCGCGAGATTGACGTAGGGGGTGGAGGCGGTGGTAGCGCCAATACCAGCATGAGGTGAAGGTTGGGGTGACGAGAGCGTCGGTGGTGGCGGATGTAGCGACGGTGAGAACAAAGAGACGTGGTGTCTGGTGACGTGTGAGTGACAGGGTATGGGAACCGTGGGACGTCAAGATTGTGATTATGCAGCAAACGGGTGGGTTGGAGCATCGGGTGGAGGTCGACGAAGGCGAGGAAGACACGGGTGGTGATATGGCGAGGCCATGGTGACAGTGGGGGCATCGGGGGTGTTGAGGCAGCGAGGACTTTGAGAATGTCATTCTCGAAAGCGTGTCCATGGCAGCAGCGATGGTGAAGAGGGAGCCAAATGAGGCGCGGGGTGGCGAAGAGAGCGAAGACGGACGCCCAGGCCAGGGAAGGCGAATACGGCGGGGAAGAAGATAAAGACATTGGGGGCCTCAGAAAAGATGTGGGTGACGAGGCGAAAAGGTGGTGAGGGCGTCGCCTGTGGCGTGAGCAGCAGGAGTGGACAGTGGAGACCGAGGGGACAGCGAGGGAGTGACGAGAACGGCGTCGGCGAGGACTACAGGAGCATCGGCGGCTTTGAGATCGGCGTGAACGACGAAGAGGGCGGAGACGGCGGAGGCGGTGCAGGGCACGGGAGGCAGAAGCGGCGGGGGGCGTGCCTCGCGCTGGGGCGTGGCTCTCGCCAGGTCGGGCCGGCGACGGCCTGAAGTCGGGGGGGGGGGCGCTGCGCGCGGCGGCCGCGCGCGCATTAAATCGCTCGGCGCCAGCTGGACGCCCGCGCTGCGAGCCCCGCTAATCCCTGCCGCCCGATGAGCGGGTCTGGGGCGCGCGGTCAGGTGCGCGTTGACAGCTGCGGCGCGGCGCGGCGGGCGGGCTGGGTCTCTCAGCTCTCGATTTTCAGGGTTTTACGCTCCTCCCAGAGAGCCAATGCGGAGATGGCATGCAGTAATGCGCATATTCAGTTCTCACTTTTTTTAAATTAATACAGCAAAGACTGTATGCCGTGTAGGTGCTCTTGTTGATGACACACAGCTGCGTAAGGAAAAATCTCTTGTTTAGTATTAAGGATTCACAGAAATAGAATACTGACTGCCTTATGAATTTCAGAAAATTTACTACATTGAGCAATTGTCGGTGATATGAATTCACAAAGCGTGTTTTCCTGGTGACAAATATTTTTTTTTCTTTCGGAATGAAGTAACTTTCAATTATACGAAGCAGATATTGAGCAGAACATTCTATGAAGAACGAACTTACAAATTCAACACATAAAAATGTTAGAAATCGAGTTATTGAAAACGATTTAGCAAAATAATCTTTACATTTTTCATTTATGATTATTAAAATGACAATGAGACTACATGTAATTACATTCCAAAATAGTGATTTTCTAGTTACAGTGTTCAGAAGAAACACCACAAAAATACCCGACGTTAAGTAATAGAGTTTATTAGGCCACCTTCGCAATATTTACGTATTTATGCGTGTATATTTAAGCACTTTTGTCGACAAATTAATAATTAGTAAGATTTTCTTGGACGTTCATTAGAGGAGTGATAGCGGGGACACAGTCATTTGTTTGTAGCCTGACAGTCACTGCCTCGCTTTTCAAGAGAGGCTTTTTTATCTTGACTTTTATTTCCAATACATGGTATTATGCTTAGGAATCGATTAAATTTTTCTACCAAAATTAAACAATTTTTGTTAACTATCGACGTGGCTGGTTTTATCAGTTTTCAAAATTTTTGTGGGAACGACTTCTGGGAAGGAAATTCATTTAACCGATGAATAATGACAAGATAGAAACTGAAAGAGCGGTATCTAGAGTATCTTGTCATCGTCAATCATCCTTTGTGAATTCCCATAAAGTTGCCAGATAGCTGAAAAAGTTTCAAATTTGACAAGATGGGAGATAACAAAAATGCATAAACAACTTACAAATACATAGGTGTGACTAATTCGAAAAATTATATAGGTTTTAAGAATATAATGCAAATGTTTGAAATATTTACTGGGGAGAATCTTCTCTTCTGTTTACAGGATTGCATTTTAGAAAGTTAATAAGAGAGTACCAAGAGCTTCTGTGGAAGAACATTGCGATTGGCGAGTCAGCGATAGAATGAAGTGTTACAATTAGTGGAACGTAATCGTTTTAATCAAACTATGTAGTTTAAAAACGTGCTTGAAAAAAATGTTTAGCATTGGCAACCGTAAGAAAATAAGGTTTCTTTTAAAATTGTGGCGTATTTTTGCATTTTATTTAAGATTTTATATATCTTCGAAAATTACTTAAACTTAATGAGTTATCTAGTTTTCTCGTCTTGTGGGCCTATCAGTTGTAGGGAAGCTAATTAAAAAATGCCTCATGTCATAAAACTGTCAGATGTTAATCAATTAACTCGGAACAAATGAGATCGACAGACCCAATTTCCGCTCTGACACTAATTGCTGCCGCAGAAGAATGAAGTGAACCACACTTGTCGGGAATTGCTGTTTGAAACTCATTTGAAATGCGCTTAAATTTTGCAGTAAAAGTGCGTAAATGTCCGGCACGATGTTGGCGTTCTGTTACCCGGATGAATGGCGTGTGACTGACAGCGTTGGAAAATAATTTCCCTCCACTTCCACAGAGCGGGCCAACTCCGCGTTAAACTACTGATGCAACGAAAATTGTGCAATAGACCATTCAACCGTTCTGATAAAATTAATTTACATTAAATGCAAAATAAAAGAAAATCGATTGGAACATTTGTTTTTAAAGTCGAACTTCAAAGTAGAGCATTCGACGAGAAAGTAGCTACGAAACGATTTGAATTTTATTTGTCGATTATTGTACGTTTTCGTAGGCACGTTATAAATATATATTCATAATAACATAAAATACATGAAGTGCGTTCAATCTCATTGCGTTCAGGTATTTATTAATAATATATTTTTACGATAAATGCAAAATTAACTGGAAATATTTTCTAAATGTAAAAATAAACCCCGAATTAGTTTCGTCGTTCAATGCTTTTAAAAACATAACATTCTCTTTAACTTACTAATTTTGAGAAATATTATACAATAAAATCGAAGATGTAATGAAAAAAACTTTAAATTCAACTATCCACCAGGGACAAACTGTCTCTAAAGGACACGCAGAGTGACTTCTAACGCCAATTTTGTAAGAAGATATGAGTGCTTGTTACTTGAACAACATCCTCAATGAGTGACAAATGGGCTATTTCGTTCTTTCAACTCGTCACACCTCTATTAACGCAAACTTAGTATAGCAGTGGTGCCATTTCGCTTCCTCCTTTGAAAGAGCGGTCATAATTTCCGGTCGTTCACACGATGAGTTGATTGTTAATTCAACAAGGAGCCCCTCTCCAGCAATACGCCACGAATATCCGGCCTCACAAATCAACCTTCTCAGGGGTAGCCTCTTTCGCCGCTGCGGTCGGCTCCGGCGCAGCAACTTCCATTAATCCCGCCCGCCCCTCCCCCCTCCCCCCGCCCCCTGCCCCTGTCCTCGAGCCCCCTCGCTGCCGTTTGCAATTCGTTCGCTCCGTTTTTCCGTTGCCTGTCCGCGCCGCCCAGCCCCGCCCCCTCCCACTGGCTCGACTTCGCGCGCGAAATTTACGGGATGCAGGGCGCTTTGGGGCGGCTTGCAAATTGCGCGCTTTGAGGTGGCCCGGCCGAAGCGTGCGAACTGGCCGAAGCCCTCCATTGGAAAGAGGCGGACATTCGTCGGTTAGTTGGGGGGTTGAATTGTTCCCGATGGGGATACGAAGCCGGTCTGGCCTCGATTAATTCAGATCTAATTTAAGTAGGCGTTGGGATGCATTGATAAATAACCGAAAGGAAATCTGATGAACAACTAAGAGGTGGGCAACTGAGTAAGGAACCCATCTTCCGTGCAAAAAACAGTTTTTGTCTGTATTCGTAAATAATAATATTGCAATTGGTATAACTATTTATCATTATTACAATTATTTCTATTATTATTAGTAGGTACTTTTATTGCTGTGTTCCTTTTACAGTTGTTTTCAACAATGGCAGTCATATGCGATTACGAACATTTCGTTTTTTGTCTGGCTTTAAACGGCGAATATTGAAGATAAAACCCATCTGAATTTGTTAGAAATGGCGAATATTACGAATATTTGAACTTGACACAAGTGGAATGGCATTCTTATATATTAGGAAGCTAATGCGATAACGGTAACGCAAACAGCTTCAACCTCTGAGTCTAGAATCGATCCTCCCCCACATGTGGAATTTGCGATGGACAAAGAAGTAATATTTGTGATAGAAATAACTTCATTACAGTATATTCTAGTTGCTCTTACAATGACCGATATGTATCTACCACGTTTTGGTAAATACTTTGGTAAAATAATATTCTTTTACTAAAAACAAACAGTTGTTTTTTCTCCCACACTTCACGTACGATGACTCTCAAATTGAAAGGTAAATATGAAGATGAAAATAAAGTGAGTCATGTGAGCAGAAATTCAAAAATATGCATCCAAAAACAGTACTTTAATTAAGATAAGTTCGAGAAAATTTAAATTTCAAATCATTGAAATTTCTTAATGGAACTATTCATGTAGATACAGATGAAAGAAATTTATTCTAATCCGTCAACGTTTTATTTTAGTTAAGTTTGTTTGTGAAAAATTGCAAAACTTTTATGGCAAGAATTTTGAAAAGTTTTATTAACATTACTTTACTGTTATTTTTATTACTTTTATAACATTATGGTTTGTTTTTCCAACCGTAGAAGAAGAAACACATAAGATATTGAGTGTACTAGAAATGTTGTTTGTGATGGTATGACGTATCGGATCTCATATGTGTGTAAAACACAAGAAATCTTCTGAAAGCAAACATTTTTAGACTGATAATAAAATACATTAAAGAGTTATTTACCATTCTTACAATTAATTTTAACTGCATTGATAATTTATGCCGAGAGAGGTGGATTATGCCATCAACTAATGTCACCGTGATGCCTCTCTCGGAGAGGTCCTACGTTCGATTCCCGACGGTTGCTGCATTTTAAGATCATGCTAGATAGCTAGGTCGAGTTCTGTCGCTATCTGGAAGAGAATTCTAGCGGCCGGCTGCTCTGATCGGGAGTTGGGGTTTCTCCGATCAATATCAGGTGACCATTTTCCTTTCTATTCCTCGCCCTATCCACCTTTTACTTGAACACACACTAACATGCAGTACATTACTGTACCGGAGACCGGTCAAATACTTAGAGCTTGTCTCGGCTGGTGTGGTGCCTGCTGGTGGGAAATACCTGATTGGGGGAAACTGTTAACCGACAATAGATCGGTGCCGAATGGCACCATCCAGCGGGGCACCTTTCGAGCAAAAACATGCACTATGCTTACGGGGTCGATGATCTTAGCTGTTGCCGTGCCCGAGGTCATTAATCAAAAACCCTCAATCACTCAATCAAAAAACTTCGTATATAAGAAAAAGTGTAGCCGGTAATTAACACTTCCAGAGAAGAAGAGTTTATTGGCACGCTAATTTCATTATGAGAGTTGTGCATATAATTGTTTCGTAAGAGCAAATCTGCTGTTTGTTTACAATTCACGCCCCAACCAAGTGCAGAAGCGCGCAAGTGTCGCAGGCGAAGTGGGAAGGGCGGAGCGGAGCATTTTGTGCAGCGCAGCTCCCATCCGGGAGAGTTTGCGCAAGCAGCCGTCAGGTGACGCGCTGCAGGCGGCACTTGTTTGGCTTACTTGCGCGCCGTACTGCGTAACAACATGGCGCCGCTTACTGTCCTCTCGGTAATCACGCGTCCAGGAAAGCTGAGCGCAGGGGCGAACTCCGTGGGCCTCAGAGGCGTCCAAGCGAACACCTTCGGAGGTAAAGGAGTTGAGTCTGCTGCGAAACTTCATTACGGCGGTTGGGCAGCAGACGCACCTATTGTTGATTGTTTCGATAATACTGTCATTTCACGAAATGTGCTTTATAGCGCATACGTTTCAGATACATCCAGTTTGTGTGTGTTGATTGGTTTTATTTAAATTAAATTTTCTTCTGTAGATGTTTACTTTGCAGTTAATTGGTGTTACGATGGTACATTCGTATTTTCGTTTTTCTAACACTATTTGCTGCACTTGCTGGTAAATAATTTCTAATAAAAATGTAATTTTCAGCAATGTGAACAGTTTTTGCAGAGCGAATGTAATGGTTTTTGGGAGATTCTTGACCTTCCTAACGTCACTTCTAAAATGTTGAGATTGAGACTGAATACCGGTAACTCAGAGTTAGAGAAAAGGAATACATTTTTGCTTTTCAAATAAGAGTAAAAGTAAAATATTGAATAGTTGCGCTGGTTACTGTAGAACTCTTGTGTAAATCCACATGGATGAGTAAAAAATAAGTCATTTTCCCGAAATAAAATATAGATTACTTATACATGAGATGTTCACCTCATTTTCAGTGCATCCCAACATGTATGCGTGCTGAATTTAGAGTAAATATTTTTTTTATTTGTGAAAGATAACTTGTTTTCACCTATCCAGTAATACATTGTTTACTTTCGCTTATTTTTAAACCCCAAAATAAAATTCAGCAACAAACTTCTTCATGCCGTGTTTCTCCAACATTTCACTGTCGGAAGTCGATTGTAGTGCAGGAAGAAACCCATTGGATGCGCTGCGTTACGTGGACCGGCGCGGGGGCGGGATCCAGAGCGCATGCATTTTAGAGCAGCCGACGTCTTCCCAGTGAGCCTCCGCAGACCAGTGGAACAATTGTAATGCGACCGCGTGAGCGAACAAAGACGTAACGTTTCCCATCAGGCAGCGCGCGCTTCAACTGAGTTTTAATTTGAACATGGTTGCAGTGCTCCCGCCGGATTAAAGGTCGAGTACAGTTTCATTCTCGTTGTTTCTCGTTACCCCAAGCACGAGAGCCCGTAGCTCTTTGTTTCTTTCTCTACTGGGACGTCATCCAAACCTTCACAAGCTAACCAATTACTGCACTCTCTTTTAAAGAAGTCGTTTTTCATTTCCTTTCTTTTTTACTGTCAACAGTTCACGTTATGAATTATAAGATTTCATTTTGGGATAATGTCTTGTAAAATTAAATATGAAATTATAAATACTTTTTTAACAAAGAATGTTTTCTTATAATAAATACCTATTTACCAAGAAAGACAGACATTTCCCCGAAAGTATTTTTTTCAAATAAATATACAGCAACAATTTGCTCCAATGGCAAGTTAAAACTTATTTCTTCCTTCAACTTTCAGTAGCCATTATCCATTTTCATTTTATTTCTTCGCACCACTGCCAGGGTTGCTCCCGAAACTTTCGTAAGTTGGAGCTGCAAACGTTACGCCGCCGTAACAACCGAAATATTAGAACAAATTACTTCGCCTTATTTAACTCGACAACTTCTCGCGGGGCGTAATGCGATTCCAGTTCGCAGTTGCGAGCTGGCTTTGGGAAGGGCGACGGCGGCGGAGGCCCGGGCGGGCCCTGGAGTTAGCGCCGGTGCATTTGTGATGTTTAATGAGAGAGCTAGTCAAATCATTAACCCAAGTTGCGGCGTAGCGGCGGCGGCGTTGCAAGTCCCCAGCGAACGGCTGAGGAACGGGAGGCGATAGGGATGGCCATTATGGAGATCAGGGCGCGCGATGCTTCTGTTGTGGGATAACTTGCACTAAAGTCTACACAAACTCGGCAGATAATCAATAGAATATAACCCTGCGCTGTTTGTTTATGAAAATCAAATAGAAAGCACCGCTGGATCATCCTTCATTATTCATTTTTAAACAGTATTGGTTTATTTGGAGAATTATGTCAACGTTAACCGTTTTAAGAGACAGGAACAATCTTCGCACAATGATAAGAAATGGAGTACAAAAGAAATTGTCTTACGAAGTTAAATTGATTAACTACAGAGTGTATGTTTTCTCGTAATTTTTCTTCAAAGATTGTACTCGCACAAACATACACAACGTGCTAATATGATAAATAATTTTAGTTATATCTAATTAAAATAATTCTCTGAAATTTGTTCCAGAGATATATTTGGCATTTGAGAGTTTTCAATTTCGCTTCCTTTCTTAAATGTAAATCGTTCTCATTTCTGAGCCCATTATTGCTTAGAACGTCTCTTTAAAATAGTATAGTTCCATTCCAAATTGTCTTAGAAGCCTTTCGAATGCAATGTATTATTTTTTTCATTATATTTAGTTTTTCTTTTCGAGTCGTATGGTAAACAATGAAAGAATGAGAAAATATTCGAATTTAAATTAAAGAAGAAACAACTATATGTTATGCTTCCACTCAATCCTCAATGGATGCGTGGCAATTGACTCGCGTTGACTAGCGAAATAGAGTTTGTTAACCACCTGAGACTGATTGACTGCGTTGTATGAAAACACAATTTTTTCAATGGTAAAAATGGAATTTATTATTCTTTTAGGACTGAATCCTTGGTTCAACAAGTCTTTTTACAGTAATTTCATTCCTAGTTCAACAATTGTATTTTATTATCCAACATTTTATTCACTCTTCTAACTGGATATAAAAGCACTCTTCAAAAATAAGTAATAGCTTCTTTCTTCTTTGATTCATTCAGTTATTTGTGAGTAGCTAAAATACATTGCTTGTCATACGCGGGCATTATTTCACTCATATCTTCTATTAGAGAGGAAAATGAATAAATTCTATGTGTGATGAGTACTCACCATCACCTACTCCATGGGAAGCCATCTGATCCCATTTTCCCTCAGCACATCCGCTCAGGTCCTTATCGCCCCGCTCCACTCCTTTTGTTTTTGTGCCACATTCTCATGGTGGTCAGCTGCTCACAGACGCATTGCTGCCTATTCCTCTCAAACTTCCAGTAACAATCCTTTTTTGATATTTATGGTCCAATCAACATCTACATCATTAGTGACCACTATTGGATTTAACGTTATGGTAACTATGAATATTACATGTTATGGTGATGGTAGGGGTGAAAGGACGAACACAAATACAACCATGTCGAAGGCGGGCCAGGAAGTCGCGTTTCTTCTGTCTGAGATCTTCACTTACTCTTATACTGTCGTATGTAGGTACTAATATCCCTAGAATGTAGAAAGTTATGTAGTGACTTGGAAAATAGATTTCGAGTATTGAAGTAAAGAACATGTTTGAGAGTCCCTTGAAACCAAAAAGGTGTTGTGTTTCAAAACGTCCGTCCCTCGCAAGAATGAAGTGAAATACACTTATAAAAATGGAAAATGTCTGAATTTGTTCTGTCATCTTCTAGGAACTACAATAATAATGGTAGCATTTTTTCTTCAAATTAAATTTGATATTCACTATTAGTTCTTTAATTAATGTGTTGGTCACTAACTTGAAAGTATTAACTGTTAAGGCGCTCTGAGGAAGGCCACAATACGCTGGCCGAAACGTTAGCCGCCATGTCAGTGACGCGGATCGTACCGGATAGTCTAGGCAACACAAACTCCGGCCGCGGAAGCCTATGCTTACAAAGTACAAGTGTTTTAATAAAGGTTCTCTAAAACTTCTCTGGAAATAAAATCATAAGTCGGAGTTTTCAGAAAGGCTGGAACATTTTTTCGAAAACGACTAATTTTTTCAGCACCAATTTACATGTAGGGTCAGATTCCTTTTCTTCTGTTTAATCCTGAAGTCGTATTTTAGTTTTAACATTAGGGTACCAAGAAGATGTTAATAAATGACATTTCGACTACAATAACTGGCAGCTGACAAGAGGGCGGGGAAAACTAAAAAATTAGCCCAGACCAAAGATATTAAAAAAATAACTAGTATCTAAAAGTCTGTGCCATGCTGAGGCATCACTAGGGTAATTTATATTTTCCTGTTAAATATTAATTGCTTTCAGTATTTTAAATATCAATCTTGTAATAATGACATAAATCATTCTATCAATCTTGTTTAAACTACAGTAGTTTAACAATGCCTTACATTTTATGATAAACTAATGTATGTGCGCTAATGTATTTATAAACATGAGAAGTGATAATACGGGATTATCATTTACGACTCAGGCACTGGTTTTGCAAAGTATCCGCATTTCCCTTAAACTTTACAAGTATCATCTGATATTTTTTCTTGATTAATCCAGGTTCACGCCGATCAATGTGCAATGTGCATCACATACACTTGAGCGTTTCTTGTGTTTCTCAGATTTATCATCATGAGATCATTTCTCAGGTGGACGATATGAGATCATTTGGAAGCAAATCTCTTTTGTCCGCAGCCTGTTCCATCTGAATGTAATATCAACTGATGTTTTAACTTGCCTCATAATGCATGGTTTGGTATTGGATACCATACTCGTTGCAAAGTTCTATACTGTCTATAGTTCTATATGTCTATATGTTCTATACTGACCCTCTAGTATACAGACGAGCGCTGGAAATATGATGACTGTCGACAATTTCCGCCGCTAGAGGTCACTGGGGGGACGGAGTGCAGCGCTGCGGCGGAAGGCGCTAGTTTCCAAGCTCTGCATCACTCCGCTTTAATGAGGCTAGGACGCGCCATGGCGGTAGGCGAATATCTCCACTCATTCGAGAAATCCGACATTACTACATTCAAAATAAGTTGGTGCACCGAATTATCCTTTCCACTTAACTAAAAGTACTTTTTGATCCCGTACAAGTAACAATGAAGCAATAAATAAAATTAATGAATTAGTTACAGTAGTTTTTCACTTTAGATTTAGAATTATTTCGACAGAAATAACGCACTATTTTCATCGCAATTTAATGACGCGAAATAGAAGAAAGAACCTAACTTAAACTCAAGCAATTCAAATAACGTAGTTAATACAGGACTATGTAGAATAATACTTGTATTTATTATATAGGAATTATTTTTTAATTAATTTTAGCATTTACAAAAAAGAATGTCACTTGAAAACCTTAAGAGCGAAGGTCATGGCATCTATTAGATGGCAGAAGATTAATTATTTTTAAATTAACCATTTACAAAATGCACAAGATACATACAAGATAAACCAGATAAACACTATATTATCCGGAACAACCGACAAAGTTTATAAGGACAAAAAGTTTACGGACAAACTTTTGAAATTTTGGAAAATGCTTCTTGTGGAAATAATTGGTCCTAAGAACAATAACACTGTAAATATAAAAGACATTTAGAACTTAATTTACCTCATTGCTTGGAACCCATTATTTCTACCCGCTGGACCACGGTGATTCAAATACAATGCTGAGCGCAAACACTAAGGAGAACTGGCGTCACGAACAAATTTGCACATTTGCCCTTTGAGGCAACAGCAACCAAATGGTCGCGGGTTCCAGTACCGCCTCGGGCATGGTTGAATTTGTGTTTCGTGCTTTCACCTCTATCATCACTATATCATATCATTTTCACAGTTACCATAAAGTTAAATCCAATATTCCTAATAACCTAGATGTTGATGCGACCTTCAAAAACAAGAAAAACTTACATAATTTGCTTCAATTGCTGTGTTACTTCATTTACTGTGTTGGAGAAGACAGAAAGACATACTTATTGACGTTCTGGCTAGTACTCTAAACCCTGCATTCAGTTAATAACAATCAAGTTATTTATCATGTTTTGGGGGACCATATGAAACACATTTCATATACCATACGTCACTACTGTCATTTAAATTCATTGGATTTCGTTCCTTGTTTCTGTAAATTTTTACATAATTCTTATAAATATAACACTGCAATTAAAACATTCCAATTAGCAAACAATGGCTTTTCAAAAATAACGCTCATTAATTTAATTTAATTCTTATTTTATCTGAAATACATTAATGCAGACTGTGACCCTAGAACGAGTTATTTTCATGTCGATAATTTACGTTATGCTTTGCTTAAACAAGTGATTAACTGAATTACACCTTTGCATTGCCTTTTGAATTTACTAAATACTAAATGTATCCTTAATTTATTGTCACATTGTGTAGGAAACAATGCTGCACTTGCACACCGTTAAGAATTGAAACGCTGCTGATTCTGGTAGTCGTGCCTCAGTACGGGTGTGAAAAGTAGTTTTTCTTCTAGGGCTTTTGTTCAGCCGTCAGCCGTCTACCCTTTACGTTCCGATAGGACATATATTCGAACTTACACTGGACACCAACACACTTGCTGGCTTCTCTGATCTGGGGTCAACAGAACACGAGACCCTCCGCGACAACTTAAGCACGAGAGAGAAGGCACAAACAACCATGCCCAAGTCGAGACTCGACCCCGTGCCCCTTCGGACCGAAGCGCTAAGTAGGAACTTGGGCCATCCAGGTTGGCGTGAGAAAGTAGATAATTTTCCAAACATCCTCCTCTACCCCCGCGGGTGCAGGGCACTTTACGCCTCGCGTCCGCGCGCGAGCAGGGGTGGGGAGTGGTGGTGGGGCGGCAGCTGGGCAAATGCTGCAGGGTGTTTGACTTGCGCGCTGCGCCGCCGTTGTTTCTCGCGTGTTTTCGAGGCGCCGGCAGAGGCGCGCGGTTGCGTGCTCAAACAGCGCCTGCTTTCCAAGTTGTCGACCGCCTCCTTTGTCCGTTGCTCCTGAGGGAGGGGGTGGGGGTGGGGTTCCCAGGGGTCGCTCCGTCTTACTCCGATTTGCTCGCTTTGCCCCAACGGCGCGCAGCCGCCCTTCGCTCTCCAAGGTGGTGAAGGCAAAGGGCGTTGGGCGGAATCGTCTGTGCTCTCGCGCCGTTCGCCGAGAATGCGTAAAACGCATCTCCAATTCCGAGGCAAAGGAACATGTTTTTGCGTTCGCTCTTTGAAGCGGGTGAGAAATAAAAACGAAACAAACAGTTCTTAGTCAAGCATTTTGCGAAGGATTTGCTATCGTGAGTTCTTTTAGTTGAAATTGAAAATCTCGTACGGTTTTTTGTGAACTTATTATTACTAAGATGTTCTTCATCCCGTATAAGACACTGTTTTAAAGTATTCTGATGTTATTTGGTTTATATTTCGAATAAGAGTAAATCCCATGTCTTATTTAATATTTCAATGATACAAAGAGAAATATATATAAGTAACAATTTTTGTGTTTTTCATGCCAATTATGTTTCGATTTTTTTTCTGAGCGACGTTATTCAGACTTATAAGTTTCAATTTTCTAGCAATATTCCACAATAACAACTGATTAATTGATTTGACCCTCTATGGATTTGCATAAATTCGCTACTCTTAAACAAGCACTATACGAAAACTACATGAGATTGGCTGATTTTCGTCTCTTTCTGGGAGCCTCTGTTCCAATTATTAAATAATAATAAATGCACTCAACTTCAGTTTTTTGAGGACTCATTTTTGAAATTTTATGATTTTCTATTCATATAACGTCTACAAACCACATATTTGCAAACACAACTCTTACTTTAAGAGAAAATGATTTCCACAAATTGCTCTTGGACGATTTCTAATATAATTATGCTTTTGTGAAAAATATATTGAATGCATAATTTACGGGTTTCTTTTTCCAATTTCAGGGGTGTGTGGTGATACATCTCACCACAGAAAACAACAAAAGGAATAGTGCATCGTTATACCCCCTCACTCAAAGTATTATCAATAAAATACAGTTCATACACTTGAATGTGAAAATCTAGTTTTATTATTTAGTGATGAGAATAATGGCCGAGTGTTTCCCTGTCTTCGTGCATTTCTGTTCTTTGCACGTCGCTGTGCGTTTGCGGCCACATAGTGATGTTTGCTGCCCATGCAAGAATCTCGAATTCTGGGAATATCTACAATAAAGAATGGTACGTTGGGTATTAAGAACAATATATTTCCCGAGAGGGCTCTTACAAAGTAGAACATCTAAGATTGAAAAATTTTCCTAGCACTTAGAAATAACGGAAAAGGGAGCAACATAAATATAGGAGTATTCAATTTTAATTCCTGGCAAACAGTAACTATGAGCCAGTTGACTGTAAACAAGAGGGAAACAGCTGTGGTACTGATTCATGGCTTTGGTAAGTGCTAATTTCTTAAATTTTACTATCAGAGAATTTACTTTTAAACTTTATAACCTTTTTTTAATATAGTCAAATTAAATTGAATACATTAATTTTAACTTTGATTTAGCCGAAGACCATATATAAGTACCAATAGTTTGTGCTTTCTTCACTTAAAACTTACTATATTAAAACATTTCAAGAAGGTCCTTAGAGAAGTAAAAACTTTGGGCTAGCAATAACTTATTCTATCGACGGCAAGAGTGGTAAAAGGAATAAAGTGACTGATTTAGTTAATGCGAAGAATAGGTGACCATTAGATAAACTTTTAAAATATACTAACAAAAATCCAGACTTATTTATATTTGGTATATTTTCCATCTCGAATATTAGATAGGTTTTCACTGAAAATTGTGAAGAGATATATTTAAAAGTATACTGTGTGCGTTCAGTGTGTAGGGAGCAACAAAAGTGATTGAAGAAAGAAATGAATGTATATAAATCCGTAACATTGCAAGCTATGGTGCAATCACAGGCATTTCGTGCGCGTGTGTGTGTGAGTGCGCGCGCGGGCGCCGATGAGCGAGCGGCGCGTGCGTGGCATGAAGCAGAAGGCGTGCTGGAGCCGCCCCCCTCCATCAACAGGCAGCTGCTCGCAACACGCGCTTCCTGCGGCGGCCGCGGGTCTCGCTGTGAACCTCGCCAGCGCTGCTCATCCTGCTTTCTTCCGCGCGCATCCTGGGCGCACAACCTCGTGCTCGTGCGTGTGGTGAACAGCCGCCTACTCGCGCTTCATCCGCGCAGCCGCGCTTACTGCTCACTCGCTGGCCAAGCAACGACCTGCAATCGGGCTCTTCGTCACGCCTTCGGCTCGTGCCCGCCGTTCTACGCTGCTGGCCCTACGGCAGAGATTCTCTGGCCAGATCCAGGGTAGATCTTTTGTTGTGCCATACAGACAGACAGCAGCGATTAGTAATATTGTTGAATTCTCATTCAAATACTCTGGATGTGATTACAGACGTACCGAGTTTCCATTGCGCTGAATTCCATTCATGATTTTCATTCCATTCAGAGGTTCGAAACAAGGTTTGCTCTTTTAAACAAATCTTAAATATTTTCACATTGTTTGATAGAATCACTCTCACACTATCGTATTGGTTTCGCTGGGAATCATTTTCTTTATGTGTGCTGTTGAAGTAAGTATTACTTGTCCTAAGTACTGTCCTAGTTCTAGTAACTGAATGGGAATTATAATTTTTTCTTCCATCGGTACTGGAACATCAACTAAAGTACCTAAAGTGGCACTATGAAAATCCTGTACCTCTCTGTTCCCGGCAAAACATGTATATGGCAATGAAGATTTTTTCAATGTACAAAGTCTTATGAAAAATGGGGTAATTGTCTACAACCCTGTACTTGACACAAACTGAGCAAACGAAAACACTTCCTATATTTTTTTCTAATCTCCTCC